AAAACAAATGACGTCGAAAGCTCTATGTTACGTCTAAATTCTTCTAACCAATAGCAGCGAAGCAGCTCTCACAGCAGGAGGTACAGCGAGTACGTTTTAGGAACATGCGTCCCAGTTCAAAAAATCGCAATGTTCCAGTCCTAATTCAAAAAATTAAGGCCAAATAATTATTGCCAGAAACAAAAAAAAGTACCCAGAATTAAAATGAAATTTTTTAGCACAATTTTACACACAAACAGGTAAAAAAAAAAAAAAAAAAAACACGGATAACAACATTGTTTACCTTTAAGTTGAGCTTTTTAAATGGCACTTCCGGTCTTTCTACTTTCACTTCCAGTGCAGTTAATTGGCTATATTTTCTCTTCTAATTATCACAAACGTAAAAATGAACCATTTTCGGAATCCTACAAAACTGACCTTTCAAATTGGTCAATTAACAAAAAAAAATCGAATTTTTTCGCCGAAATCGTTTTTTTAACGTAGGCAGATACCTTAATATATTCTTTTCTGTGCTAACATGAATTTAATACAAATTTATTTTCGTATATCACGTTTAACCAGTTAGTTTTACATCTACATGCTTATTATCTGTGAATTTTTACTACCATATGCTTTATGTATTGTTTTGTTTGCTAACTTGAATTTAAAAATCACGTTTACGGCTCGGCTTATCGTCGATTCCGCGAGCTTGGTGAGTAAAAATGCAACGGCGCCAACGAGTTCTTTCCCGAAGCGCCAACTGGTTCTCTGAGGATGAAAACCCTTATTTTTCTATCTAAATAACTATGTACATTTTTCACAACTAAATAGATTGCCACTGATACTAGCATGCATCTCTTTCTGTAAGTTTGAATGGCATGAAAGTAACTTCCTTAGTTTACTATTTGTATGCAATATCTTTAGTATATTCAAATCATATGTTTCACCAACAGTTCAAGGCTTATTCAACAAAATAATCTTGGAAATAAATCATTATACATTTTTTTCACTTTGATATAAGCAGATCTATTCCATTCACTTCACTATTTCGTATGATAATCATAATTATACTTATTACAATTTGTTGTTGTGTAAAAGCTCTAACCTTAGTTTTCTCACCTCTCAACATACACGAATAGTACGAATGCTTTTTATATTTAATTTCCTTTCAAAATGCATGAGTACCGAACACTTCTATACGCTAACTTTCAAGTAGAAATTGACACACGATAATTGTTTTAAAATACATAAATGTTCATAAAAATTTCTATTTTTATAAGCATTTATTTATTTTATCATAGCTAAACATGTCAGGAAGAAAGATAAAATTCGCGGGTAGCTAAAACAAAGAACCTCTATGTACATACAATAAATATTTTTTGTCTAAAATCTACAAGAACTATCACATATTCTTTGCTTTGCCCAAGGGGTGAGACTAAATTTCAACTTGGCAGGAAATTTTGATTGGTTGGCTCTGGTGACGTCATTTCAACGTATTTAAACTCCGCCTCTCATGTGGTTTAAACTCCGCCTCTCATGTGGTTTAACAATCAAAACTCATCATGCGCCATGTTTGGTCATGACCAAAGATGGGTTCTTCTCTTGCTTTACCAAGATATCCGTATAGCCAGGGCTTAAATTGCGTCGGAGCCCACCGGAGGCTGGCTCAGATACTTATTAGTTTTAGGAAAAATTCATAATTTTAGCCGGAGCCCTAAATAAGAAGGCTTTGGCACTTCTTTTATGTAACTGAACAATAATTTCAGTAGAAACCTGGTCTTGGAAGCTTTATTTTTAATAATAAAATTATATTAAAAATTGCTTATTAAATTCTAATTTATCACTTTGCATTTTATTAAATTTTAATTATTTAATTACTTTAACCATTAATTTTTTTAATAATGAATTATTTAATTTTTTAATTGTTAATGATTTTATTAGTCATCTTATTCTCTTATTTATTCTTGTTCCTCTTTCCTGAAGGTCTTCTATAGGGCTCTGGTACTTCTAATTTTTGAAATTAAACCCTGTGTATAGCTGACCGTTTTGTTTTTCTAATATGCTTCCTTAGGAATTATGACAGCCATATACTGGTAAAATGCCTTAGACCATTTACCAAAGCAAAGATCCGAAATGGTTTATATGGTAAATAAGAGAGTTCGTAAGGAAGGTTATATTGTAAGAATGTCGTTTGGTATGAAAACTTCAGTTTTCATAAAGGAAATTGGATAAAATGCAGATATTTTTTCCCCATGAGAGAAAAGTCCTAAAACTACTTCAACTGTTTTATTTTGTAAATGAAGATAAAATAGCGCCTGATATGTGTATGTACTAAAGAGGACTTCAATTATTTAGTGAAATAAATAAGGACAAAATACAAAATTTGAAATTGTAGTTTTTAAAATAGGTTTTTATTTGATTAAAGCACTCGAGAGCTAACTGCCTACAGGGAAGAATGCCTTCCTGGAGAACTTTCTAAGGGAAACTGGCTCATATACACGTTACACATGAGGAAAAACACGAAAACGCCTATGCAGCCATCCCAAATCATGTTTAGAATAAAAATTAATTTGTTATTTACTATCATTTGCGATTATTAGTGGTAAATATGTATTGAAATCCATTTAGAGCAAGATCTGCAAAGAAATGAATGCGGAAGAATCTAAATTCTCAGAAGAGATATGCAATTATCTGATTATAATCAGTAGAATGTGCTTTGAGTTAATCCATATTATGTAACGTTATCAAGTGGCTAAAAGTATAAAACACTGGTAATTAATTCTCCTTTCCTTGATTTGTAGTAGTTGAATGAAATGATCATAAGGTAATTTCATGACAAAGAAGCACTTAAAAGTCTCATGCCTGAAATCTGTTTGAATGTTTAGTCATAAGGGTACAAGATCTCAAAATATATGTTAGAATGTGTCCACGGTCAAAAAAGGGTTGGAGTAACTCCTATACATTTTGTGTTCATTAAATAATCTTGTACAAATGATTAGGTAAAGGTTTTTAAGTCTTTTGCCATTAGTTGATCCATTAGCATGCTAATATAGTCTAACTTCATGCTTATTTTTACCCTATGTATCAATGATTTCTTATTATATACAGATAATATTAAGTTTTGGTCGTTATTCATACTGTCAATAAATCAATATGAAGAATACATTTGTGATTTAAATTAAAAACGATTAGTTCAGTGTTTACAGATTCATGTGATGTAATGAAAGTTTATAATAAAATTAAGAATATTCTGTGGTTTATTTTCTTAAATGAAACTTTGTTTTTCCTCTGGAAAAAAATCCAAATAGCTTTATGTAAGAATCATTAAAGAGATCTTCATCAATAACAATGTGTTAATTAATGGAAACTATATACTTGTGTCTATATCAATAATATTTTCCTTTGAAATCTGTGTATAAGCCTTAGTAATCTCAAGGTGTGAGATTTATAATGTTGTAATATTCTGAAAAGTCACTTGACTTTAATATGTATGCAAGTTTCATGAAAAATTAAAAGCTGTATAATTTGCATCCATACATAAAAGCAAGAACTATGTATACATAAATTCTACAGTTTTACTGTGTGGAGCAAATCAACAAAAGCATTATCAAAGCATCACTATTAACAGTTTCATCACAAAACAACTACATTGCAGAGCATGTTTCCAAAGTAGTATATCAATTTTTTAAAGTACTGATTCTACTGAAAATGTATTGTTTACAAGATAAATAAATAGCTCTTGCATGCTTCGCCACTTTCATAAAATTTTTAAAGATTTTATTTTTATTTCTGTTATTGGTTGTCATATATCTGCATACTTTTGCAGCCCAATGATTTATTTACTGTATGAAATTTATTAATCAATTCTCTTGGAATAATTTAAGTTTTCACTATTCATAAATTGTTATTGTAATCACTAGCGATTCAAAAATGCTCAATAACAAAATACAGTAGCATTTTCAAAAACACTAAGATTTACACTTATATGAATTTAAGAATTTTAAAGCACTTATTATATTTTTGTGGCATTTTTAATCATTTATTTAGAGAAATACCAGCACACTCTGATTTGTCAGCAGATACTGAATTATGATTTTCCTTTGTAATAATCAAGTGCGATTGTTATTCCTATTATGTTCTCTATCTGTATATGATGTTACTATCTATATTTGACTGAATCTGTAACTGCATATTTCATGCTGAAACTTTTAGTTCTTTTGCACATATTGTTGTGATACGTCCTAATAAACACATTATATGTCGATGTTTTGTAAAATGATGTTGCTAACTGTACTGTACGTGTACCATCAACTGGAGAACTTTACACTAACAATTTAGTAGTGAAATACTGCGACAGACTATGCAGATCAAAAACTGATTAATAAATTACTTGTGTAACTAGCAAGGATGAAGTAGTGACAAGATTAAGAGCATTTTAAATTTATATACTGTTTTTAATTCATCATATTTTAATTTATAAACTATTTAGAGATTATTTTATATACAATATATTTACATGATGAGATATCAATATGCATGATCAAAAGAATCATGAATTATAAGAGTTTCATTATTTCCAATGGCATCTATAGCAGCTTTCTTGTATGAAGTTGTTGCAATATTTTCAGTACTGCATGGACTTTTTCTTTTCTTTCTCGTAGAAAAGAAATTCTTTTGTTTCTCTGCTTTTTTATTTGTAGGTTCATAGTTCACCATTTTCAATTTCGGCTTTTCGTTCTTTAATTTTGTAATCACTTTATTCAGTGTGTTTTCAATATCTCCCAAAGTTATATTATTTACTGTTGTTGATGTTACAAGTTTTGATATGATACTCAGTTGATCTATAATATGGTGCTTGGTTCCTGATTTTTTAAATTTTTGTGCTGATAGATCAAGAAAGGATTTTACATCATTTGATTCTTTAGTTTTAGCTGGCTGTTCTCTATTAGGTAATCTTGTCTTTAAAATTATTGCATGTATATGTTTACAGACACTTCCTTTAATCGTGGCATCTGTGCATGTGCATACAAATGCATCGTTACAAATTTTGCACCATTTACAAACAATGTTACAATTAATGCATTGTGTATGTATTTGAGTAACAGTATATTCAAGAGTAGGGTCACTTTCTGAAATCACATGCCAAGAAAACTCATTGATTTCTGTGATATTATTAGCTGGAAAATTTATTGCTCTGTTGTGTCGTAAATTTGTTTGGTTGATCTTTGATGTGTTTGGCCCTTTTGTTGTTTTGATAAATCTCTGGAACCATTTATCTTGCACCATATTAATAAGCTTCGCAATGCACCTATCAACCCTCTTGTTTTTCAATCCATCAAGATAAGAATATTTTAAAACTCGATGCAGTGCTTCAAGATGATTGTTAGTTGTGATGTTACATCTTTTTCTATAACATTTAGCCCACAACTCACATCTGTTTGCATAATTTGAAGCAAAATAATTAGCAAACTTGTCTGTATCTCTATCAGCAAAGAGTTTGCTGAGGAAATCAGATATCAGTGCTTCAAATTCTTTTATATCATGACATTCAGATACTACATTTAAAAATTTCAAAACTTCCTTTCGCTTTGAGGGGATAATTGAATTTGCTGCTTGCAGCCATGCCTTTTTAACGTGCCAGGTGCATAGAATCCTAAATTTGGCATCACACATTACTGATGTCCATGCAGTATAATATACTGGTGCATCATCACTCATAAAGCAGTTTACAGACAGCAGTCCAACTTTGTCCCTAATACACTGAAAAAATTTTTGCATTGAACCTAAATTTACTCTATTGCTTAGGCAAAAAGCAGCAGGAAATCCTGAATTAAACTCGTCTATGACTAAAACTGTCGATAATTGAAAATCGTAAGCATTAGTCCCATGTGTGCTATCGGATCCAAACTTTAAAAGCATATGCTTTTGAACGTTTGTCATTATGATGATGCAGAAGTCACTAATTTCCAAGTGCTGATCTGCTGCTTCTCCTTGGAATTTTACAAAAAGAACTGGATTATCATCTAAACATTTCATTTTTTCTATCCAGATCCTTAAACTGACAGCATCAGTTGGATGATATTGTTCATCATTACCAATACAGTAAGAATTAGAAATGTTATGTATGTCTTTTTTTGTCAATAAATGCTCCCTGTAAATGTCTTCTTTAATACTATTCCTTGTGGAATCTAATATTTTCTGTGGTGGAATGCCTTCATTTAACTTACCTGAAAATATTGCATTTATATGATAATGTTGTATAATAATGTCTGTTTTATATTGAATTTCACAATCAAGTTCATAAAGAAACTTACCTGCAATCACTTCTCGCAAATCTTTTGTTAATGGCAAATGTTCTAGATCTACTGTGTGTCCCACGTGTGTTTGGAAATATAAAATCTTAATAATGCCATTACTGGTAACTTCAATAGTAGATGGACAGTGCCCCTCTATTTTGCAGGTACCTTGTGATTTTATAGCTCTTACACCTTTACTTTTAGAATTATAAAATCCAGATCGATTACAAAGGAAGTAACTCTTTTTCCCACCTTCTTTAAGAGTTATTGTACTTCTCAAAAAGTAAGAAATTTTTTCCTCTTCGTTCTTCCTCACTTTTCCATTGTAAGAAATCTAAATTTGAAGGGTAAACATTAGCCTACATACAATATAAAAGCCCATTATAATTGTGAACTAGTTGAATCTTTAAAACAAAATTACTAATTTAAAACTAACCAAAATCTTATTTTGGCACTGATTGTAAATAGATACTGGTCACTTTAGCAGAATTTTTTTTCTCTTCAAGAAGAGAGACCTGTGTCTAATTGCTCTCAAAACTGATAGTTTTATTTAAAATCTACACTGAAATAAAGTTGCCTAATTTAAAGTCAGGGGCGTAGCTAGAGGGGGCATCTGTCCCCGGGCGCAGAATCCAAGGGGCGCCAAACTGATGTTACAACATTTTAGAATTAAATGTTTTCCATCCTTGGCAAGCAGTAGAGGGCGCACGAAACCTTCAGTTGTCCCTGGGCGCTGAAAACCCTAGCTACGACTCTGTTTTAAGTTGTACATTGGCATATTTTTCTTCCTATTTGACAGTTACTAGTACTCGTGTTCCAGCTAAACAAGACTTAAAACATATTCCCCAAAGTTGTATAATAATGCAAGAAATTTATTCTTAAGAGACAAATTGTCATCAGACATTTTCCATAACATGAGTGTCATCTGGCCTATGTCTAAAGTAAAAAAACATTGTAGCCTGTTTCTTGATAACTGATACAATGTGTATAGGTTATTAAAATTTTAAGACATCGAATAAATTTCTTTAAGTAGTTTTAAAATAACATATAATAAATTTTAAGCCTCATTTACATATAATAAAATAAGTGTCTATCATTATGATACTAAACTTACGATTGAAGGTTGCCACTTTAATAAAGATTTTAACAATTTTTTTATTAGGTCCACATTATTTTTGATATCTTCATCATACATATGCATTAAGAGATCCGTTTGTGTAATAACAGGATAGTCTTTTTTTTTTAATGAAGCACTGAATTACATGTATAAATAATTATGTAGCAGTACATCTCTATATATGTTTTTATTATTTAGAAAATGTTTACTTCATATTTCAAATAGTTGAGGAAGAGAAATATTACTTTGAAATATTTTTACTGAAGAATAATGGGGGTTTATCAGGCTAACAGAAAAAAGCAAGATGCTAAGGAAATTATTCTGTTATCAATTATACTCACAAAAATAGATGTATTTTATTCCCCAGCTTGATGAATGAATTTGCAAAAATAGTAATTTGTACTCAGTTTGGGGCTATTCAAATTAAAAACGTTTATCGCAGAAAATGCAAATTTCTAATATCTTACCTTCATATGTATTAAATGTCATTTCAACGGAGTTAAGAGTGTATCCATGTTGATCTCTTGCGTGATTTCTTAACTCTTCAAACGTTCTACATGAAAAATTGCAGGCATTAATAGGACATTTCAAATTTCCTTCAGCCACAACAGGTACTTTATGTACTTCCCGAATGTGTTCATATAAAACCTTTTTCTTTTTGTACTTTTTGCAGCAGTACATACATTCAAATACTGCTATCTTTTCATATTCCATTGTTATAACAAAAAGTTATGTACTACAATAGAAAATAAAAAAAAACTTATTTTGTCATCAGATATATTAAGAAATGAATAAAAACTAGTAGCATATGATATTAAAATATTTAATGTTTGACACAAAAAAATGGTAGCATATGATATTAAAATATTTAATGTTTGACACAAAAAATGGTAGCATATGATATTAAAATATTTAATGTTTGACTGAAACTAACACGGCTTGCTATTCTGAAACATTTTTCATTTTCCTTTGTTCAACAAAGGAAATTTCCGCTAAATTTATCTGTTCTCAAAAGGCAATATATGAAAAATAAATAGATTACAAAAAGTTTGTCTCAAAAATAAATACTTTACAATAATTTGTAATCACGTGTTTAATTACAAGCAAACAATACCTAAATTACCAATTAAAATATTTTATCAAAAAATTCTTTTAGCTCGCCAAAAAATATCACTGCAGAGCTCAGAAAACAAGCAACCGAAAATGGCAGGTAATCCTGTGGGGTAAATCTAAAACATCCCGCTTTTGACGTCACATGTGACGTGTACCGTTGACCAATCAAATTTTCCTGCCGAGTTGAAATTTAGTCGCTCCCTTGCCCAAGGCCAACTTATATCAGTCGCGAAAAGTGCTGCCATCTATCCAAAGGAAGTAAATTTATTTCTGTCGCGATAGATTGAACACGAGAGTTGGAAAGGTTAAAATTCCCATGAATTTAACAAATGTATTCCACATGCGGATTTAGTCAGTTCACTGTTAGCACATGGAATAAAAATTAACGGCAAGAGCTTTTTCCTTACAGTAGTAATTTTAGAGTATTTTCACATTTGAAGACTAGCTAGGGTAGGTGGCATCATGGCACGCTTAAAGCGGTAAATGATTTTGTTTATATTCCGAATGATCGATTAGATGGATAACTAGATGCATTCCAAGGATTTTAACTTGTAATTCCAACATGCTAAAGCGGATTGATTATTCTGTAATTAAAGTATCCGGAGAAGATGAAAACTTTCCTGCGGCAGAGTTAAATAATCAACGTCCATCAGCGAAAGGCTGGATGTCTCCTAAGTGCGTTCTTGTTTTTATTTCTTTTATTTGATACATTATTGTTTAGAATTTTGAACATTGCTTACGATATAAAATTGTACAGTGTATGTGTACAAAGAAATTACATTTTAGCATGAAATTATGTAATTTGTATTTAAATTGTATGGCATAAAAATTCTCGGTTGATCTTTACATTATGGTAACTTGGCGTTTTTTTTGGCGACAATTTGGCGACCAACTCTCCTACAGCAACCCTCTATTTTTTTTTTCCCGCCGCCATTTTGTCTTCAGAAGTAAGACATGTTTTCTTCTTTTATCTACTGAACACTTCTTCCAACAATCTACATCCGCTTACCCTATGCTAGAAATTTTTACTAACAAAACTGCTTAATCATGAAAATATTACTGCAAAATTGGGAAACGTGCACATACCATCTCCTTACGCGTTTTCAAATAAACATACACATAAACAACAAGAAAACGCCTACTATTTTTATTAAAAAAACCCGAATGCCAAAATGGATTCGCTACTCTTCACTATATCCATTACAATGCTTTTTCTCATAAATTAAAAATTTTACGAAATCTGACAATTTTTTTATCTTCTTTAAACCCGGTAAAAGAACATATATGAAATTACCTGATCGCGAAAAAGAATTTACCCTTACAAATATGAACTTCCACATAAAATAATAAAATATCCAAAACTTTACCTCTAATTCATCTATTACTTATACACGTCACCACGAATTCAACCGCAAGCTTCCAATACTTAATCAAATATTTCAATTATTTCCAGCACGTTTATTTCAACTTAAACGTATACCAAATTCCTACAAACTAAATTCACAAATAACTTCATTTCATTAAAATATCTTATATTCAAAACACACAAAATATGATTGCACACCGTTATTAATTAGACCCTATTACAATGACTTTCACCATCATTCAATAACAATTTTCCCAATAATACAAATTCCTTTCCCACCTTACATTAGACAATGCAATAAAAAAATATCCTCAATAATTTAAAACTCTAATACCTATCTTCTCAGAATCTTGATTACGTGTCGATAACTTTTCTTTAGTTACGCCATGGGATCCAAAAATTCACGAACCGTTTTCAACACACACAGAATAACCAAATACAAAATTTCCAGATTTGTTCCGATTTCCCCCCCCCCTTTTTTGATTCAGAACCGTAATTCGTCCATTTTATCCTGACATCATCCCATGACCTCATTTCCCTCACACAAAATAATGCGTAATCGGAACTGAGTACTGCTCACATTATTACCAAAGTCCCAGGTAGTAACCTTTATCGCCTCCAAAATGTCGCCAAACTACCAGTTACCATATTGTAAAGATCAACGAAATTCTCTATATTCGAATTGTGTTCTGTATTTGTGAACATCCATGCGAATGATTTTACTTAGTTTTCCAAAAAACGATTTACTTTCGATATAAAAAAGTGTTGTTCGAACATCTGTCTGTGGTTATGGTAGTCCATTTCATGACTCCTGCTAACCATATTTATAATTTATATGTATCCATTCCAAACTGATAAGCAAGGTATTTCTGTAATCTTCTGTAAATTTCCAGTATGAAAAAACATGTCAGTGTAAAATTTTAAATTTAACAAATGATGTTTGTTTATCTAGATTAAATAAATCTTCCAATTTCAAGAATCAAACATAGTGCCTCTTTTTTAGGAGCCCAATAAAAAAGGCGGTAAACATAGTGCCTTTTTTTTAGGAATACAAAGCTATTCTGAAAAGAGTGATATATGTCTGATCACCTTCAAAATCAGTAGAGAGTTAATTCAAAATTTATGCCAATGTAAGGTTTCATTTTTTGCCTAATTTTATATAATCATTACATTTAAAATTACATATTGAAATTTATTCTAATCCTAGTAGTGGAATGAATAGGCTACGTAAAATTTAGCTAATCTCTGGAATATGGTAACAGGTCGTTTGGCAATAAAGGTTACTAGCTAGCAGTGTATATGGATATAGTTAAAAGTGTGCAATTCTGAGATGTTCTTTTAAGTGAAAATAGGTCGACGTGTACATGAATGATACCGTGCATGTGCAATTCGTAAAAATGCGGCAAGCAGTGGGCGATTCTGCACTTTGTCCCAATTTCGCACCTAATCTTCGTCTGTTAAGCTTTTGTTCCATAAAAGTTCTAGCATAAGCATAATTCGGCTAGCAGATTGTTGAAAAAAAAATGTTGGAAATGTTGAGTAAAAAAAAAAAGAAAACATGCCTTTACTTCGTGAAAACAAAATGGCATCCAAACAAAAACTAGCAGGTTGCTGTAGCAGGGTTGGTCGCCAAATTTTTGCCAAAAATTTATTAAGTTACCGTAATCCAAAGATAAACATGAAATTTTTTAATTTTTTCATGCATGTAATATAAATGTAGGTCAGTTTTCCTCGATATCAGGATCGTGTTCAGAAATGCATGCATGTGTTCATGTATGCGTGTATATGTACTGTAAAAGCCCGAAGTCTGGTATATTCTAGGTTTTACTGAAAATTCTGGTAAATTCTAGGTTTTTTAAGGCTTGGTAAAAGGCCGAAATGGAATCATATTAAAGCATACTTTGGACGATGAAACCTAGGATTTTTCAGACTTTGGATTTTTACCATAATATATATACAGTCAAAAATTGTTAATTCGGAAACGCATAACCCAGAATGATCTATAATCCGGACCTCAAAGCTACAAACTCTCTGCGCATGCGTCGCATTGATGCATGCGCATAGGCATTTACGCGTGCACGTAAGACCTTTACGGCTGCGAATATGCGTGTGCGCATGCGTGTTTAATGTATACGGAGTATAAGTAAGCTAAAATTATCTAATTCAGTTATTGTGCAGATTGCATTTCCTTATCTTCGAATTGTTCCGGCTTATTATTTTTTGCGACTGTTAGAGCAATTTTATAAAAGTAAGCTTGAACTTTCGATTATGTCAAATAGAATTTCCAATATATACAGTCAAAAGTCGTTATTTCGGCACCCTAACGGAATGATCTATAATCCGGACCTCAAAACTCGACGCATGCGAATAAGACTTTTACGGCTGCGAATATGCATGTGCGCATCGCGTTTAATTATAACGGATGGATAAGCTAAGCTAAAATTATTAATTCGTTAATGTTGCAGATTGTTGTTCCTTATCTTCTAATGGATCCGGCGTATTATTTTTGCGACCGTTAGAGCAATTTTATAAAGTAGCTGAACTTTCGATTAGTCAATAAATTTCCTAATACATTTACTAATACGTAAGGCCTTTTCTTCAGGGCAGATGTTTTTATTTATTCGGCTTATAATTCTTAAGATGTAGTATTCATCTCGATGATATCCGTCTTTGATATGATTAAATCAATTCCTCGTATTAATTCGTTCCATAGTGAAGAAAGTGTACAAGGTATGAAAACAAAAAATTTCGATGACAAATTAGTCTGTATCTCGACACAGCAATATAGGACTAACAGCGGAACTTTGTAATGACAAGAATTATTCTGTTTAAAGAATTAAAGAGAAAGTTTATCACATAAACAAGCAACTAAACAACTTACATTGAAAAATGTTTAATAAAGTAAAAAATAAATATTAAGCTTTTCTTTGTAATTTTGATACCCTTTAGATCATATGTTTTATTTCATAAATACGGTTTTAATTTTTAATTTTATAATTTCTGCATGCCATCTTACCAGATTTAAACTGATGATCTATAATCTGGAATCGCTGAAGGCCCGACGAATCTGGATTAACGACTTTTGACTGTTTTGACTGTATTTACTAATATGTAAAGAATCTGCAAAGCGAAAGTATGTTTTGAAATCCGAAATCTGTTTATCAATTTCACGCTGCTCTGCGGCGGGAAGGGGGGAAACGCCGTGGCGCGCAATGAATTGAAAGTTGATCTGTCAGCACTATCCTTTTCTTCAGGGCAGATGATTTTATTTTATTTGGCTTATAATTCCTTTAGTATTTCATCTCGATGTACTCCGTCTTTGATATGACTTAAATCAAGTTCCTCGTCATTATAATTCATTTTCGATAGTGAGGAAAGTGACTTAGAGGTTATTGAAAACGAATAAATTTCGATTGACAAATTAGTCAGTATTCTCGACAAGCAATTATAGGACTTGAACAGCGGAACTTTGTAACTAAATAAGAAATTATGTCTGTTTAATAGAATTAAAGAGAAAATATTATCACATGGAATGAAGCAACTTAAACAACTTACATTGAAAGAAGTGTTTAATAAAGTAAACAAATAAATATTAAGCTTTTTCTTTTTTTTAAATTTTGATACCCTTTAGATCATAATTGTTCTTTATTTCATAAATTACAGTTTCATATTTTTAATTTTGTAATTTCTGCATGCCATCTTACCAGATTTAAACTGATGATCTATAATACGGAAAAATCGAAAATCCGGAATCGCCGAAGTCCCGACGAGTCCGGATTAACGTCTTTTGACTGTATATTTGTGTATATACGTGTATATGCACATACATACAAACATACGTTCATACATTTTTGAATCTGGTCCCAATAACAGAACAGTACCGAAAAATATTACATTATGTAACCCTTTGTACGGTTTCCGTGACTGTAGTTGGTAAGATTAAAAAAAAGAGCTTTGGTTTGAGAAATGGCGAAGGAGTATGTTGTATTACTCAACGAGAAAGCTGCTGTCTTTCCTCTTCTGTAATTGTTCTGCTTCATTTTACTTTTTATTTAACCACGAAAACTTGTGCTAAGTTTCAAAATAAGTATTTAAAACCCAACTGGTCTCACTAGTTCCATCACGGAAGTTCAGCATGTTACAGGTAAAATTTACTGGTGGCAGCAGTGGGATAAGAAATCCATGGAAGCAGATTGCGGACATCAGTCCAGGTAAAGAGGAATACCAGGCTCCTAAATGCAGCTGATCTTTAAGATTTGGGATAGCAGAGTCGTAGCTAGGGTTTTCAGCGCCCAGGGACAACTGAAGA